AAAAAAAAAAAAAAAAAAAGCAAACTGGGGGACTTCCCTGGTGGTCCAGTGGTAAAGAATCCTCCTTCCAATGCCGGGGACACCGGTTCGATCCCTGGTCAGGGAAATAAGATCCCACATGCCGCAGGGCAACTAAGCCCGCGCACCACAGCTACAGAGCCCATGCGCTCTGGAGCCCACGTGCCACAACTAGAGAGAAAAAACCCGCACACCACAACTAGAGAGAAGCCCGTGCACTGCAAGGAAGATCCCACATGCCACAACTAAAACCCGACGCAGCCAAAAATAAAAAAAAGATAAAATAGAAAAAAAATTTTTTTCAAAAGAAGCAAACTGGTGTAGCAAGAGCACCCCCAGATGGGTGGATGGCTGGGACTCTAATCCCCCTGAGTCTCCTTCCCTAACACACTGGCCACAGGAGACCACAGCCTGCCCTTCACTCTCTGTCCACTGTCCACCACGACTCTTCCCAAACACCCGGAAACACAGGTGAGATGAGGCCAGGACTTCTAGAGATTATAGTCAGGGCTCAGGGGGACAAACACAGAGCCTCCCATGCACCACAAGAACCAGGTTTATGGGCTAAGGCTGGCCCATCTCTAACATGAGCCCCTCTATAGGGGTCTCATGGTCTCAGGACCTTGGGTCTGGAGTTGAGACCTTGGAGGTACACAGGGTGGGGGCAGGGGGTAGCCTCGCGGGTAAGCAGGAGACAGACAGGGAGGCTCCCTGCAAAGGAGCTCATGCTGAAAAACAGCTACACCCAACAAGGCCTCGCCTATGTCAGGGTTTCTGTGAGGATCATACCAGGTAACATATGTAAGGCACCTAGAAGCATGCCTGACACATAGTAGGTGTGTAAAACCACTGATAAAAAGTCACCTGCCCAAAGCCATGTAGCCAGTAAGTGGCAAAATTGAGATTCAGACTCACATCTCCCTAACCCCAAACCGCCTTTCCACTGGGGAGACCTGGGGAGGTCATGTTTAAGCAGAATCTTGGAAAATTCGGCAGGACTTTGGGGAAAGTATAAAAAGCAAAAATGACTGTCCTACAGTGCACTTGGCTCCACGTCTGAGGGGCCAGCAAACACGGAGTAACAGAACCACACCTCTTCTGCTCATCTTAGAAACGAGGCTGGACCACTGCACAGCTGGGAGAGGGGCTGCTGGCTTCATACCCTCGCCCCTGTCCCAACCTGGAACCTGCACAACATAGCAGGGGCCAGGACAGGTCTTCGTCACCTGGCCGAGCCAGAAGTCACCCCAGGAGGCCACCCACCTTCGCCGTGGCCCTTGCCCGGGTTCCAGCCGTGGGGACTATTGGAGTAGTAGAAGCCGTTGTAGAAGGGCAGGCCCGAGACGCAGCACAGCGAGAGCAGCAGGCCCAGCGGCGGCAGGCCCATGGCGTCCCGCACGTGGCAGCGCCCAGGCGTCGGGGAAGGCTGGGGGCTGGGGCAAACTGGGAAGAGGAGAAAAACAAGCCAGTGAGAGAAGCCCTGAGGCAGGGGGCCGGGGACCCCTGGGTTCCAGCGACCCCTGGGTTCCAGCACCCACTCATTCACTCGATCAACGGGAAATTGTAGAGCATCTTCTGTGTGCCAGGCACCCTTCTCGAGGCCAAGGAGACAGTGGTGATGAGCTAGACAAGGTCCCTGCTCTCAGGGGACTGCACCCTGCAGGCAAGATGGGCAACAAGCAAGCCAACAAGTCCTAAACAGGAGTTAGGAGGCAGCAAAAAGACCATGGAGAAAATTAAGCAGGATGATATGACAGTATCACCATTTTTCAAACACCAGGATTGAATTGGAAAAGTTGTGAGCAGCATTTTTTAATGACATCCAAGAGACTAGACTAGACTAGAAAACATCAGGTTGCATTCATGGTTAGTGAAGATGAGTCCTGCACTGCAGAGCTTTTGTTTCAGTCCAGAAACATCTGTGGGGATGAGGTCGGGAGGTGGGGGGGGTCACAGTGTGAAATTATTTCTTATCCTGGGTCAAGGTAAAAAAAAAAAATTTAATACCATGCTAGAGTACTTCTGGGGGGCTATTCCAGGTTCAGTGGACATGCAAATAAAATAGGCAGCTGGCCCATGGGCTGTAGTTTGTTGATTCTATTTTTTTGTATTGCATCAAAATATTATATCTTTTTAAATTTTATTTTATTTTTGGCTGCGTTGGGCCTTTGTTGCTGCACACAGGCTTTCTCTAGTTGTGGCGAGCGGGGGCTACTCTTCGTTGCGATGTGCAGGTTTCTCATTGTGGTGGCTTCTCTTGTTGCGGAGCACAGGCTCTAGGCGCGCGGGCTTCAGTAGTTGTGACTCGTGGGCTCTAGAGCGCAGGCTCAGTAGTTGTGGTGCACGGACTGAGTTGCTCCGCGGCACGTGGGATCTTCCCGGACCAGGGCTCGAACTCGTGTCCCCTGCATTGGCAGGCGGATTCTTAACCACTGCACCACCAGGGAAGTCCCAAAATATTATATCTTGATTATTGAGTTTTTTTGCACACACACTCCCCTCCCTTAAATTTGCACATGAAGCTAGTGCCTCACTCACCTCCCCTGAGCGCAGGCAGTAGTTGTGGTGCACGGACTGAGTTGCTCCGCGGCACGTGGGATCTTCCCGGACCAGGGCTCGAACTCGTGTCCCCTGCATTGGCAGGCGGATTCTTAACCACTGCACCACCAGGGAAGTCCCAAAATATTATATCTTGATTATTGAGTTTTTTTGCACACACACTCCCCTCCCTTAAATTTGCACATGAAGCTAGTGCCTCACTCACCTCCCCTCATCCCTGCCCTGCTCATTGCCATTTACTGAGTACTCTCAATGATTAAAAGGCCGGGTCACACCTTGGAGGAGCTCAGTCCAGGGAAGGGCCAGAGTCATAGGCAGGAGATATTGTGTGGTGAGTACAAAGATAAGGTACAGAAAACTAGACTTGAAGACACAGGAGGTAGCCAGGTGGGAAAGGACAGCAGGGTTTGCCCAGGAGGAGGCGCAGCAAGTGCAAAGGTTCAGAGGCCAGAGAGCACGTGGAGGGCTGGGGTGTGCTGTCAGGTGTCCATTTATGGCCCCCACCCCCGACTCCCTGGTCCATCTCTGCTCTTTTCTGCCCTGCACTGATCACTCCTCCCCGGCCCCCAGGCCCTCTGGCTTCCAGCTAGATTCAGCCAACAGGAGGCACACACAGGAGATGGGCAGGAGGGGAGAGAGGTTGTGTCTCTGCAGTACCCGTGTTCCGTCAGGATCACGACTCCGCCGGGGGACTCCTCTCCCCAACACCGCTCTCATGGCTTTGTAACACTCTTTCCTCCCCTTTCCCCTCGAGGCCGGGGGACACCGACTGCCTTTGCTTGTCTCTGCGCCCCAACTCCCTAGTTTGTTGACTTTCCTCTCCTCTCTAAATGCCATTGCATCATTAGAATCTCTTATTGGAAACATCTAGGGTGAATTCTGTTTCTTGCCAAGGCCCTGCTGATATAGGGGAAAGGAGGGGAGAGGGCACAGCAGGACCAGAGTCTAGATGCCCTTGTGTGCCAAACTCAGCAGCCTGTCCTTTGTCCCCAAAGCCCTAGAGTGCCAGTAATGGCTTTAAGCAGGGGAGCCACAGGATCAGACCTACATCTTAGAAACATCCCTCTGAGGGCTGAGTGGAAAGTAGGCCAGCAAGACCAGAGTTGACAGCAGGCATTTGGAAGTATGACTGTGATTATCATGCAGCAACGTGGAAAGTGCTTAGGGTATCATTTAGAATAGACAAGGCAGAACATAGACTTGCCACTCTGCTATGATTGTAAGTGTGTGGCCCTAAGAATGCCTGTGAACAGGAACCAGAAGGGGAGGGAGCAGCAAAAGGAGAGAAAGGGAGAGGAAGGGAGGGAGGAAAAAGAAAAGAAATGCATTGGCCTGTAAGGGTGGTGGGATTGTGGGCGAAACATTCTTGTTTCCAGAACAGTTAGGAGCTCTTGCTGGAGAGGAAGGAATGGATGTGAAGGAAGTTGAGGGGTAGAATCCACTGTTCCCTTAGGCCTCTTTGCAGAGAGCCCAAGGCCCAGACTTGCCCTCTGTGCCTTGCACAACAGGAGGACACCGTGAGCCTTGCTTCTTGTCCAAGAGGAATCCCCAGGTGACACCCACAAAGCCTCTTGGTGACTTGGATCTGGGCAGCCTAAGCACAAACAACCTAATACAGAAGTTTGGACCCCTGATAATGCACTTTTCTGTTATATGTATGCTGTGCAGTTAATATGCTCACAGTTAATATGCTTGTGAGCAAAAATAATACATGCCACATGCAGGTCTTACACTGAAAACGGTCTGGGATGCCTTTCCTTGGTATTCTTTCCCCCAACCTGTTGGCAGCCAGAGTAGCCACCTTAGACTCAGAGATGGAAACCACAGGCTTAATGACAGAGCCACCCCACCAGCCCTGGATCTCCCCCACCTACACTGTGTCATGAGAGAAAAAGAAAGCCCTATTGTATTTAAGCCACCACATTTGAGTCTCTTCATGAACGTAGCTTAGCCACACTTGGCCTAAAAAATAACTGCACAGGGTTGCTATGATCAGCATAAAAATATTAACAGCTGACTTTAATGAGCACTTACTATCTCACTTAATTCTCACTACAACCTCTAGAGAGGGACCTACTGGTATCCCCATTTTACAGATGGGAAAATCAAGGCACAGAAAGATCAAATAATCTGCCCAAGGTCATCCAGCTAGGAAGCAGCAAAGCCAGGATTTGAACGCACTCCAGCTCCAAAGCCTGGAACCACAATATCAAACCAGGGAAAGTGACATGTATAAAGCACATAGTCCACTGCCTGGCACACAGCAGGTCCTCGTAGGAGTTAGTTTCCTTTCCCTTCCTTGGGTTTCCATGTTTAGAATGCAGAGAAAAGTGGAATGAGGTTGGAGAGGCTGGATGTCCCAGGGTCCGCCCTGTCCCTGGGCACCCAGAGCCTCCTGGAGCAGAGGGGCTCCCCAGCCTCTGCCTGCAACGTTTCCAGCCTCTTTCCAGCACCTCATCTAGTACAGATGCTCCCCAGTGAGAAACAGCTTCCCCAGGATGAGCAAATGCAGGCACTTCTGCCACAAAGTGATCTTCGTCTGCCTGTAAAAAAAATGTGTATTTTTGTAAAATCATGCATTAAAAAATAACAAGGTTAGGGGAAAAATAAGTTTGGGGCAAACTACTCAAAACATATGCAACTTTATAACCAGAGCACTAACAAAAACAAGAGCAATTCTAAAAACAAACAAACAAACAAAAAAAACCCACCAGCATCGTTAACACTCCACTGACACTGGCACCCACGTCCCATCAATCAGTCCTTTGCAGACTTCACCCACCACTGGGGCAAGTGCTTCTTCCTTCAACATGTAGGTCCTTGGGGGCACCGGATTCCAATTTTGGTAAATTCCAATGGATTTACCAAAATTAAAAATCTGACACAGGGTGAAATCACCTTCTTCAATGTTCTGTTTGGTTTGGTTTTGTTTTGTTTTAACACAAAGGAAAGGTCTTTGCAATTTCTTCAGCTGGTTCCAACTTTCATCAGAAAACTTTACACTAAGTTCTGTTAAGCAGCTAAACCAGCTGTACAGGCATTCCTCCCATACCAAATCTATTGCATCCTTGAGTTGGGATGCCAAGAGTTTGGATATTGAAAATTTGGGGGATCCAGATAGGGAGGGATGCTGTGTTATTCAAATCTATTTGGTTTCTGTGTTGGACAGGGAATAGCAAGCATTTGGATAGCGAGGGACATCCGTATTAAAGAAAAGCACTTTCTGCAGGACTGGCAGCATTTATCTTAAGGAATTCATACACTGCTAAGGTTTTCTCTTTAATTGTGAGAACTCCTGTTTCAGTCACTCCAATACATTAGCGAGCTGGAAAAAAAATCACCACCAGACCAATGCGATTCCATGTTTTACCGACATTGTTCCCCCAGGGTTCTTACCAACCATGGATGAGGTAATTCACAGTTCAGAAACATGAGCTGAGGCAGAACAGACCATTGCACCTTCTGGTGTCTCCAGAACCAGAGTTCTGCCCTCCAGAACTGCAGAGTGTAAGTCTCCGAGGCACCCTTTCCCAGCCTCAGAGACCCCGGCACACACTCACAACCTTGAGCCTGGGCACCACACTTTCTCCCTGGCTTTTAAAGGGCTTCCACATCCAACAGCTCCCTTGATCCTCCCAAGAGCTCCCCACCCCCACCCTGATCAGCAAGAAGAATTTCATTCTCCCCAATTAATCCACAAGTGAATTAAGTGAACAGAGACACCGAGGCATGAAGCAACTGTCTAAAGGTGACACAGCCTGGAGGTGGTAGAGGCAGGATTCTGTTGAACTCTTTTTAGCCAATCTCCATAACAATCTGTCATACTGAAGGGCTGCCTTCTACTTGTCAACACACTTTCATGAACATCATTGCTTATAGGCCTCACAATGTCAGAATTATCCCCATTGTACAGACCAGGAAACTGAGGTTCACAAATGCTAGGTTGCTTGGCTAAGGTTACCCAGGTAATAGACGAAGGAGCTGGGACTTGACCGCATTCACTCAACAGATACTTATCATGCATTTACCATGTGCCAGGCATGGTTTTAGGCACTGGGATTACAAACCAGGGGTCCTTGTGGGGTTTACACTCTAGTCAGGGAGATGGACAATAAACACCATGTGGGATAATGTGATGTGAATGAACATGTGGCTCGTGATAGAAGAGGATGAATCAGGGGGTGGGGGTGTCCTGTCAACAGGATGGGTCAGGAAGGCCTCCCTGAGAAGCGGATGGGCAGTGAAGGCATGAGCTTTGAAAATCCCAGGGAAAAGTTTTGCAGGAAGAGGGAACAGCAAGGGCAAAAGCCTATGGCAGGAGCAGCTTGAAGGCCAGTAAGGTTGGAGCCCAGAGAGAGAGAAAGGGAGGGTGGCAGGAAATGAGGTCCAAGTAGCAGTCACAGGCCCCAGGCTGTAGCCCGGAAGGGAAGTTACGGAAGAGTTTTCCACAGAGGAGTGTCATGAATCTGATTTACATTCTAAAAGGATCATTCTGGCTATCTTCCTACCTCAGTCAAGTGCATGTCCTCATCCTGGCTCTTCCTTTCCAGCTACAAACAGCCCTAGTTCTCTCCATTACTCCTCCAGTCTGAGCACCCACCTTGGTTCACTCCCTGGCTTATTAACACAGCTGCAAATGGAGAGGTGTGATCTGGTTAACATCCCTCTGGGATGTCAACCCAGCAGTCAAGCAACCTTAGAATAGGTGGGGGGATGCCAGGAAAAACAAAATGAGTCTGAAGAAAAGATCAGCCTGTGTCCAGGAGCTACGACCCTCCTTAGGAGTACTGACCCTGGGCAAGTCATTTGACTCATCTGCACAGAAGTTTCCTTGTCTCCAGAGAATACTAACAGAATACTAACAGGCTCAGGGCCTGAGGACAAGGACCACCCTGAATGTCAAGGCTAAAACACAGAACAGAGTCCTGGGTGTGAATCAGGGGTGGCAACTTCTGCCTAGTTGCTGCCCTTCCCCGGGCCAATCCCCAACCACAACCACCAAGGGGAGCGATAGATGGCCTCTGCTCCCTGAGGCTGGCTATCCCGCCATCAGCCCCTCAGGACCACCACAGAGATGTCACCAGCTGGAAGGCCCATGTTCAGGTCCAGCCCAGTCACCTTGGCAGTGAGTGGCTCCAGCTGATTTAGGGCACCCAGACTTGGGCACACAGGTCTGGGCCCAGCATTAGGGCTGGACACACCTGCACCCTGCTGTGTGACCTGCTTGGGCAAGTTACTCAACCTCTCTGGGCCTCCACTTCCTCCCCTGTAAAAATTAATAATAGTAGCACCTCCCTACGGGTCTGTGGTGAGAATTATAAAGATGAATTTTGTTCAGCCCCTGACACACAGCAGGCGCTCAACAAATAGTAGCTAATACATATTGGCGGAAGACACAGTGACAGGCTTCAGGCTCTAGAATCAGATTGGCCACCTGGAATCAGTTCTGGTTCCACCCACTTCCTAACAGTCTGTCGCTGGGCAAGTCACGGAGCCTCAGTTTCCTCATCTGTAAAGTGGTAGTCAACAATAATACCAACCAGAAAATCTTTTTGTGAAGATTAAGGAAGAGAATGGCTACTGAGCACTTTGAAAACTGCCTGGAGGGGGCAAGCACTCAAAAAATATTAGCTATGATTACTACTGTTAACAGTTTACAAAGTGAGTCTCACAAGATTTCAGTAGATTGTTCTCTCTCATTGTCTAGAAGAGAAGCAGCCACTGTTGGGAAACTGAGGCCAAGGGAGGTGAAGACCCAAGGCTTTATCTTCGGAAAACAGGTTAGAGAAAATTCAGGTCTCCTGACGGCCCATCCCCTTGCTTTTCCTAGCACCACTTGCCTTGGGACCCCTCCACACACCCGAATAAGCTGAACCCTGACTTGGAAGGAAGATGGAGCTCCACCGGACCACCCCGACTACACAGCTGTGGAGTACAGGTCTCCCAGACACCAGCAGAGGGCAGCATTGCCCTCCAGGTCTGCAGCAGCCCCGGCTCCCCGAGAGGAATTTGACTTCGGTGCCCCGTTTGGGCAAGGCTTACAAGGGCCTTTGAAACCTGCGGTTCCCGGAAAGTGGAAGCTGGAGGTGTTTCCTACCAGCATTCCCAGCCCACTGGCCCATGCAAGGCCGCGGGAAAGGGGTCAGGGCCCCTCTCAATCACCTCCCCCCGTTGCAGAGGGCAAAGGCACTCCGGAGGTCGGCGCTGGACGCCAAGGTCCAGACCGGGTCACAGGCTGCTGGAGGCCACCCAGCGAGCTGGTGACAGAGCTGGGTCCAAGTGCCCGGAGCTGTTTCCTTCCTGGCTGCTCAAAAGCCCTAAATTCCTCCCTGAGCGATCCCATCTCCCACCCAGGGCTCTACCCTCAGCCCTCCCTGCCCCTCTGCTGTCCCTAAGACAGAAACCCCAGTGAACCCAGGCCTGAAACCGACGGGCATCCATTGCGTTTGCCCTGGGATGGCCAGAGCAGGCCGTAAGAGGCCGAGGGGCGCAGGTCCGCCTGCCCGCTGCCTCACGAGTTGTCCCCAGCCCCTGCCAGGTTTCCCGCGGCCCCCGGAAGCATCGGACAGATGCCCCGGGGCAGAGCCTGGCGGGCGTTGCGCTGTGCTGGAGGCTGCAGGACCGCGGCAGGACGAGACGGGAAGGGACCCGGTGGCTCCCGGTGGGAAAGAGGGGACCCGGGTAGTGGTCTCGGAAGCCATTGGTTTCCCTTGGCATTTGCCTCCTCGCGAACAAGGGTCTATGCACAAGGGTCCCAGGCAAGTCAGCCCGCGCCCCGCGCTGCTCTCAACACACTGGTGCCGGGGGAGCCCCCCCACCGGCGCTGGCGATCACAACCCAGTTCCGCTCTGGCCCCACGGTGCCCAGCTCACTCCTCCGGCCGGTTCCCCAACCCTGCCCCGGGAGGCGTGGGGCCTGCAGGAGACCCAAAGCGGGAAAGGAGGAACCGGCCCACAGGGGACCCGAGGAGCCCGGCCACCTCTGAGCCACGTACCGTCCCCAGGCGTCTCCTCGACGGCTCGAGCGCTCCAGGCTGCGGGCTGACAGGGTCCGAGGAAGCAGGCGGATTTGGGGATCTCGAACGGCCAGAAAGGAAGCGGCAGCGGACAAATCCCCGCGCTCCCGGCGGGCCAGCCCCTTAAAGGAACACACGCCCCTTTCCCTCCCTCGAGCTGGGCCCAAAGCGAGGAGGTGCTACAGACTAAGGGCTGTCTCCAGACTCGGGCTGTCTCCAGACTCGGCTGGAAACCACCCAACCCGCAGAGCTGCTGGCCGCGAAGTGAAGGGAGTATCCAGGAGTTGAGGCTGTCACATCTGGGGGAAGGAAGTGGGGGAGGATGGAAGAGGAGCGTTTGTAGAGGGAGGGTCTCATTAGCACGCTCCGGTTTACCAAAAGCATTGGGACTAAGCAGGTGGAGCCCCTTTCCACACTGCAGGTGGACTATGGCTGCCCCCCACCTTCAGGAGAGGGAGGGGTGAGCGTTCTGTATACCCGCCTTTCCCCCTATAGAAGGCACCTCCTGCCTCTATAGAGGCCCTCCTGCCTCTGAGTTTGACCGTCAGGAAATCACCAGTCCGCCTCTTAACTCAGTGTCAGGCACGGGGATGCTGCCCCTGGTAGGTGGGGCTTGAATGAGCCCTGGGAGGAGGGGGAGCACAGGATGGGGGATGGTGATCCCAGCAGCCCACAGGGGCAGTCAGAAGCCTTTCTGACTGGTCCTCCAACAGGGGTGACCCTACCTTAGAATCCTGACATCTGTCAGCACAGCCATCAAGCAGCCACCTCCCAGGATGCCTCTGTTTGGACAGGGTGTTTTCTTTCCCCTCCAGACAAACAGGAGGCCTGGCCTGGACAGCCCCTTCGTTTCCTCAGCAGCAAAGCCTAAGGAGGTGCTTCAGCCTTGGCCAAGTGGTCACTGAACCCAGAGCCTCTTCCTAAATACAATTTGACAGCGTGTGTGTGTGTGTGTGTGTGTGTGTGTGTGTGTACACGCGTGCGCGCGCACGCACACGTTACATACCCACAGCCAGGAATAAATCAGAGCACAAAGAGCTGTGGTGGACAAGGCTAAATTGCACAAAGTGAATCCCAGCTTCATGAGCAAAAGGCAGCCAATGAAAGTTCCTCCATAAGGAAGAGAGACCAGTCTGTGCACTGGATGCAGGACAGATTGGAGGGGGAAATAAATAGGACACGAGTTCCAATTAGAAAAGTTGCAAGCTTTTCTAACAATGACCAAAGTTTTTCAGGCCTCTGATGGGCCAGGCTTTACATCAGTGCTTATGTACATTCTCTCCATCAGTCTCAAGGCCATGGAGTTAGTTCTATTATTTCCACCTTACAGATAGGGAACTGAGACCCAGAGAGATTTAGGTAAATTGCCCAAGGTCACTCAGAGCCAAGATTTGAACCCAGGTTCTCCAACTTGAGGCCTTGCACTCCCAATCACTCCACTATATTTAAACCAGGAACGGAAAGCAATCTAGACTCCTGGGAGAGGCGGGTCAACAGATGCCAGTGCTGACAGCCACACGTGTAG